TGTGTGTGTGTGTGTGTTTCTTAGGATCTTTTTATGTGGAAAATCTGTGGGAGGATCAGGAGTCATTAGTCATTACTTTAATGGGGCAATTTCACTCCTCAGGTGTTCCATAGTCTCTATAACGTACGTTAGACATAAAACAAGTCTCCATAGAAAATATTCAAAATATTTGACAACTACAAAATGGCTAACGTTACAAATACTAAGGATGAAGTTGCCTGAATTTAGAAAGCCAACAAACTTCTTTATCCATTTATATTCAAACCAACAGGTGAAACGTTCATAGAACAGAAACGAAGATGCCATTTGGGCGTATTTTTAGGAGAAGAACAGCTAACTTGACTTCAGTTGCTAGTCGCCATTGCTGTCATGTATCTGCATCGCTCATTGCTAACAGCCGTCGGTCTCGTCGAGCAACGGTTGCCCACAAATGTTGCAGCTTCCGACAACACGTCGACGAAAGCAGCAACTTTTACGTAATGTAAAGTTGCCGGTGTAGAGTGTGACTTACTGGAGAAAAACGCTATGAGCGCCCTCTCTTTCTCCTCCGTCCAGTACCTCTCCGGTGTGAAGCTGAACGGAGACGCCTCCATATTTGTTGTTGCCGTTCAATCCTTCCTTTGCGCGGCTGCTTGGTCACATGACCCACACTTCAAGCTCTGATTGGACGATTCCGGAACATCCTTGAGCAATATTCGCATTGCCCAATAGAGGTCGCTGTTGATCGGTGTTCGTCTCCTCAGTGAGGATGCTGTTGACCAAAAATGTCAACACACAGAGGCACTTATTTCTTTATATATTTCATTTTTTAAATACATTAAATTCAGTTGAGATGTTCAGTTGATGATTTTAATTAAGATTAAAACTTGGAGTTACAATAGTTAGAAGCTGTTCAATAGTTGTTCTGGACCTTTGAATAATTTCAATCTCAATTTTTAAGCCAACATGGAGGCGAAGTCCTAATGTGCTCAGGAAAATAGACATTTGAATGTGTACATTTCCAGGACAACTAGGCTCCTCTGCTGAGGATGATCATGTTCTACTGTTGAAAGGTCTAGAACAGTCACAGTCACTGGACCTTGAGTGAGATTCCTTCATTCATTTCTATATAGTATATTGATATATAAAATGTATATATAGAGATGATTTAGCATAATACAATGTTGATTTGTTACAATTAAGTAACAGTAATTTCAATAGTTAAGTAAAATTCTAACTAAAACTTACACAATGTATTCAGATTTCCTTTAGTAAAAAAAAAAACATTTTGGCATGAATTAATTTTTAAAAAAGTTTGTCAGCTCCAGTTTTACTTAAAGGTCCAGCGTGTAGGCTTTAGTGGTCTAGCATTTTAGTTTTAGACTGCAACTCACTCGCTTCACCCTTCCTTTCCGAGCGCGAGGGAGAAACTACAGACGCTGTAAAACACACAAAAAACATTTGTCTGTTCTGGGCTACTGTAGAAACATGGCGGTTCAACATGAAAGGCAACCTGTGGCATCCTTAGATAAAAACGGCTCATTCTAAGGTAAAGAAACACAATAATTCTTATATTCAGGTGATTATACTTATCATTATACTAATGAAAACATACCTATGAATATTATATTCCATTTCTTCCAGTAGAGC